GTGTATTGATTCCTGTCATTTTGATCTCTGTTCACATTCTTGGTGTAACTGTGCTTTTCCACAGTTATAGCGTCATTAAGTTTCTTTCTGTTACCCCTGGGTATAGTTGTTCCTTTCTCCAGCTCTTTGTATTGCTTCAAGAACTCTGAAGAGCTGGTTTTGTAGACATGAATTCCTTCAACTTATGTTATGGAAGATTTTTCTTTCCCCTTCGACTGTAATAGACTCTGTTCACATTCTTGGTGTAACTGTGCTTTTCCACAGTTATAGCGTCATTAAGTTTCTTTCTGTTACCCCTGGGTATAGTTGTTCCTTTCTCCAGCTCTTTGTATTGCTTCAAGAACTCTGAAGAGCTGGTTTTGTAGACATGAATTCCTTCAACTTATGTTATGGAAGATTTTTCTTTCCCCTTCGACTGTAATAGACATTGTGGTTGGGTCAAGTAATCTGGGTCAGCATCTGTGGTCATTTAGAACTGATAATACTTTGGTCCAGGCTTTTCTGGCTTTCATAGTTTGCACTGAAAAGTCAGCTGTAATTCTGATGGGTTTTCCTGTATATGTGACTTGTTGTTTCTCTTTTGCAGCTTTCAGTATTGTCTCTTTGTTCTGTACATTTTGTGTTTTCACTATGATGTGCCGTGGAGAGTTTCTTTTCTGGTCCTGTCTATTTGATGTTCTATGTGCTTCTTGTATCTGTATGGGCATGTCTTTAATTTTGGGAAACTTTCTTCTACAATCCTGTTGAAGATCTCCTCCATACCATTATCCTGAGATTCTTCTCCTTCCTCTATACTTATGATGTGTAAGTTTGGTCTTTTTATGGTGTCACACAATTCCTGCATAGTCCATACTTGGTTTTCTTAAATTTTTCATAATCTTTGTTTGAGTGGTCTAGTTTGTCCTCTTTATCTTCCAGTCTTGATATTCTGTTTTCCATTTCATTCATCCTATTTGTGAGGCTTTCTCTGTTGTTTCTAACTGCCTTTTTGAATGTTTCACTTCCTTCTTCATTTCAGCCTGAGTATTCTTCACTATTTCTCTTTTCTGAATTCATTCAGAAGTTTATCCCTATCTTCTTTCAGTTCTTTGATTTCTTTGTGTATCCTTTAAATTCACTGAATTCTTTAATCATGTTTATAATTTTTTAGCAATATTTGATAATCAATGTTTATAATTATTTTATCATGCTCTTTTGAATTCCATGTCCTATGTTATCTCCAGGGGGTTCTCATTGTACTCCTCCACAGGACTGTTGGTACTTGGTAGAGATATATTATTTGGGTTTTTCATGTTATTATTTTTTCACTGTGACTTTGACATGTGGATTTCTTTTGTAGTTTCTGATTCTTGTGTGAGACTGAAGCCTTCCTTTGTTGAGTTTAAGTTTGCTGCTGTTTGTAAACTTTATGTGCCTTTGTGGTTTACTTGTTGGGCATGAAAGCTGGTTGGTCTAGGCTTCAAGTTCTCTCTTTTGATTTCATATTGGAGGGGCAAAATTGGTTTCATCTTCCTCCTCAGGAGTTCCCACAGAGGCCCAAGTCTGATGAGGATCAGATGCTCTCAGACTTTCTCCTAAAGACTGGATCCCTCCAGGAAAGATGGGCCTCTGTGGGAACTCCTGAGGAGGAAGGCGAAACCAAAAGAGCTGGGAGGGTGAATGAGGTTGTCTAAATATTTTAAATAAATCATACATACCCTCTAAATGTAGAACAGCTCAAATTAACACATGACCTTAAGATTCATTAATTTATTCAGCCAATAAATTTATTGATTGGGGGTGATTTTAATGTTTCACTAGATTCCAAACATCCAAATCGCATGAACTTGAGATTGATATTTCCTGTGTAAGCAAGTCAAAACTTAAATATGGTGTGTAATAATTCTTTAGCTGCATATCAGTTTGCTGAAAATTAATAGATATTCATGTTGTCCCTGGAAAGTTGATTTTCCCCACTTTTGTAAACAAAATTCTGTACATTTTGAGTGTCAGTAGTAGGAAATGCTATTGTGATGCCCCTGACCAAACAGAGGTAATTAAATAAGAATTTGTTTTTATTTAATTTGAATTTTAGAACTTGAAGAATAGCAATTTACCTTGAGAACAACATGGCTAAGGGTAGAGATGTATAGAGCGTTGAATGAACCTTTTCCTTAGAATGTGTGACTTTAAGTCCAAGCAATCTTTTTCTTTTCTTTTGATTTATAAGTATCCTGAGAACATGATTAAGTGTTTGCTCCCAGAGAGACAGAAACCATGGGAAGATGAGACTGTTTCTGAAGTAACTGGAAGAGACTGTTAGAAGTTTCCTGGGATAGGATTTACTGGATTGTGAATAGTTAAGACAAACAAATGAATATTCAAAACCGATAAAGAATAATTGTGCAGCATGTGGACAGACATCCTGAGGGAGAAAAGTGGAGACACAGCCATGGAGGGAAAAACCTGATGACAGCTTGACATTCTGGCCATCAAGACATGACACAAGCCCAGGGCCACAGCTGCAATACAGGAGCATGTGTATTGCTGGTGCAGGTGCCTAGGTAGATGCAAGGACCCCCACAACTCCCTGGAGTTTCTTCTCACTGAAAGATTTAGGGAACAGTGAATAAATCATAGTTTTACATTAAAACTTATAAAGGTGAGCTTGAGAATGGAATATAAGACATTTTCAAAAAGAACACAAGATAATAGACTGTGATGGGAAAATGTGCCTCTTGACAAATTCCCCTTGGTAGCAAGGTTTTAGAAATGTGGCTTGGGTGCTTTCCATTGGGGGGCAGGGAGCAAATGGGGGAAAAGGGAAAGAGTGGGATGTGGGTTTCCTATAATCTTGGAGCAGAAGGGACAAGCAAAAACCAATTTCCTGAAGGTATTCAAAGGATACATCTTTCTTTTATGTTCTTCCAAAAGCTAAAGCTGTCTAAGGGTGAAACAAATTTAGACTACTGCCCAACCAAGTTGAGCCTGAGTGAAGATCCTCTTCTTTACAAAATGCAAGGTAACTAAGTACCTTTTCTTATTTAAAAGGTATCTACTTAATACTTTGAGCATTCGAATCTGATTTTATCTAAGATGAGTTACCTAAGAGAACAGTCTGATTCATTAGAAGAATGCAGAAAATGAAACCCTCCAGGATGGACTTTTATAACGGCTGTGAGAACTGTCCATAGTCAAGAAACTGGAAATATGACTCAGTGGCTCAGAAAAGTGGCCACTCCTGCAGAGAACCCAGGTTCAGTTCCCAGCACCTACATGGGGATCCAACGCCCACTTCTGGCCTCCAAGGCCATTGCATGCATAAGCACACAACATACATGCAGGCAAAATAGTCATGCACATAAGATAAAAATAATTTTTTAAAAGAGCTACAGTCAATACACTGAATGTGGACATGCAGAGAATTCAGCAGAATTCACTGTGCTTCAGTTTTGTAAACTTAGCATATATATGCATACAAACACACACACACACATACACACACACACACACACACACACACACACACACACACACTTGATAGGAGGATCCTGCTTTTGTTGCCCAGGCTGGTCTTGATGACTGGACATAAGCAGAGCCCCTGCCTGGGTTCCTGATTTAGCTAGGACTACAAGAACAAGCCACCATGTCCAACTCTGTATGTTTTTTGAAAACTCATTTCATTGTCTACTGAGGGAAGGAGAGTCAGTTTTCTTCAGGGGGTGTGACCTCATACATTGCCCGTGTCCCAGTGGACAGCCCTATACCATGCACACTGGACAGCACTGACTGGACTCAGTGGGTTATTTATAAAAAAGAAGACATGAAGTTGTGAAAGGGATGTGGTGGACTGTGTGGGAAAAATCAGAGCAGGGTGAACACAATAAAAATACTTTGTATACATGTATGAAATTCTCAAAGAATAAAGTTTTTACATAATGAATGACACTCACCTAAGGAAAGCATAGAGTTTAAAAATACTTTTATGGTGGGGGCTGGAAAGGTGACTCAACAGTGAAGAGCACTGGCTGCTCTTGCAGAGGACCCAGGTTTGGTTCCCAACACCCACATGGCAGATAACAACTGTCCCTAACAACTGTTCCAGGGAAATCCAATGCCCTCTTCTGACCTCTGAGGGCATTGCACAATACAGGTCCACTTACATTCATGCAGGCAATATACTCATACACATAGCATTAAAAATATTTGTATAGAATGAAACATATCTGCGGTATAGCAAAATAAGTTCTAACGTGCCAAGGAGTAAACTTCCATGACATTAATTTTTCAATTAATAGTTACCCAGCACCATACCATGATAAAATGGTGAGGAAAGAAAATTTATTTTTAAATCTTTCTCAGCTCAACACATAAATCTTTGTGAAATGATTGAAGGGTGCATATCAAAATAAAGGCTGGATGTCCCACCTGGAGAGCAAAGCTCAGTGAAGAGACACAGGAATAGCCAGCAGTACAGGGATTCTCAAACACTTACCTTACCCCAAAGATTTCCATTATAACATGTCCAATGTTGAGTTAAACAGTAGACCATCTAATAAAAACATTTTATTTCTATGTATGAGCAGCCAGAGCAAAATCTTACTTTGACACCATGTACTTTATTGAACAACCTAAAACCTTATATTGGAAAAAAATGGAATTACTGAATTTTTAAACATTTTAAAAGCAGTGTTACAGTACACATCAGGCTTGTTTATTTGTTTAGATCTGATCCATTTTTTAAGGAAATCCAAAGTGAATCTGCTCTTCCTTCTTCTCCCCTCCCTCCTTTGTGCTCAATTTATAAGTTTGAATTGATTGAGTTCCAGCTCTGGGTCAGGGACTGTGCTAATATTGTATGTATTGTCATTCATCTTGCAAAAACTTATGAAGGACTTAATATGGGGCTAGAGTGGTGAGTAAAACCAGATGCCTCATTGCAACAGCCTGCAAGCTGTGAATTTTCATTAACATTTTATAATTAGAAAACCCAACACTGAGGAAAGTTAATGAAACTTGTATAGAGGTAACTTGTGCACAGCCAGAAAACTGACATCAGAGCCACGATGCTGAATATCCTATCAATGGTTCTCACAAAGGCTCTCCCCCGGTCACCTATTGTCACTTCCTGTCATTCCACATTAGCTTGCATTTTATACAATCATGTGTATTATTCAGTGTTCACTTTCTCACTCACATCTGCCTTTGTGTTTGCAGGGGACAGATTCTCATTAAGTAGCCCAGGCTGGCCTCACACTCACAGTCCTTCTGCCTCAGCTTCCCAATGCTGGGATTACAGGGATGCACTATCACAATCAGCTTTGTTCTGCACAATTGCTTATGGACTTACCCATACTAGCTGTATCACTAGTCCACTCCTTTTTATTACAGACTAGCATTTCGTTGTGTGGATATACCATCGTTGTTTATCCATTCCTCTGTTGAAGGACATTTGGATTGTGTGTTCAGCTCAGGGATATAACAACTGTAGCTTCCAGCAACAATCATATACAACTCTTTGTTTGGAAATATGTGTTCATTTGTCTTAGGAAATCCTAAGAATGGAATAGTTTGGTCATGTGATAGATGCAGGTTTGACTTTTTAAGAAACTGTTAAAAGTATTTTCCAATGTGGTTTTGCCATTTTACATCCCCACTGGTGGAGTAGGAAAGTTCAGGTTTCCCTGTCAGTCTCATTGACAGTCGAGTTGGTATTTTTAACTCTTCTAAAATGCATGCTGTGTAGTAGTGTCTCTTTTACCCTTTCCTAATAAGGATATTGAGCACATTTTCATATGCTTGTCTCTTGTTTACCCCTAGGGGAATTGTCTGTTTAAATCTTTTGCCCATTTTGTTAATTGATTTATTTTCTTATCATTGAGTTTTTAGAGTTCTTAATATCTTTTAGATACTGGTCTTTGGGGGGGGTCTTTTTTTGTGAGACAGAGTCTCCCTGTAGCCCCAGCTGGCTGGAACTCACTATGTAGACCAGGCTGGCCTTGAAGTCACAGAAATCTACCTGTCTCTGCCTCCCGAGTGCTGGGATTAAAAGCGTACATCACCATGCCTGGTTAGGTACTGATCTTTCATCAGATACCTGATTTCAACTATTTTCTTTCAGTCTATGTTGTCTTATTCCTTAGTAGTCACTGGAAAATCCAAACGTTTTAATTTTTCAGTTTTCATTTTTATTTTTGTTGTTTTTTGAGACAGGATCTTACCTTGTAGCCCTGGCTGGCCTGGAACTCACTGTGTAGACCAGGCTGGCCTTGAACTCACAGAGATCCACCTGCCTCTGCTTCTCAAGTATTGGGATTAAAGGTGTGTGCCACCATGCCCAACATATCAATTTATTCTTTTGTGCATTATATTTTGGTGTTTAAGAAAGAAATCTTTGCCTAACTCAGGGCTGAAAACATTCTTTTCTTAAATTTTTCTAGATTATTTTATAGTTTTTCCCTTCAGACCTATGATCCCTTTTGAGTTAATTTCTATATATAGCACAAGTTATGAATTATGTGTATATTCCTACACTGTGTGTTGAAAATTCTATCCTTTCTCCATTGACTGATCTGTACATTTGTCAAAAGTTGCTTTTACAAGCTGGACATGGTGGCTAAAGCTTATAATTGTAGCACTTGGGCCCTGTCTCAAAAAAAAAAGTCATTTGTCCTTATGTGTGTGAGTCTATTGCTGGTGTTAGTCTTTTTGACAGACCAGTGTCAAATTCTGTCAAAAACTTGCATGTGGGAGAAAGGTGTGCACATGCACCTGTACCTGTGCTCGGGGGCCAGAAGAGGGTGTCAGGAATCTGACCTTTATTACTCTTCATCTATTCTTTTGAGGTACAGTCTCCCTGAACATAAGGCTCAGGTGTTCTCAGCTAGGCTGGAAGCCAGCAAGCCCTAGCCATCCACCTACTCCTGCCCCTTCTTGAAGCTGGAGTTAACAGGGGTGCAAGGGACCTCACCCATCTTGTTACTTGGGTACCAAGATCCAAATGCCAGTCCTCATGATTTTTTGACAGCAAACACTCTCAGTCATCCATCTCTCCAGTCCCAAATTGCACTAATTTTCAAGTGCAAAACTGGTCCTGCGTTTCTGTAATAAACCCCACTTTGTCATGATGTTAAATCTTTTTACTATAAGATGAAAATTTCTAAAATGTTGACAAAATGTATATGTTCATGAGGAATATTGTTTTATAGCTTTTTCTTTCTTTCGATGTCTTTTAGTAATTCTAGCCTCAAATGAATTTGGGATTCTTTCCTCTTTTCCATTCTAGGGAAGAATTTATCTTGAATTAATTATTCCTCCATTAAACATTTGGTAAATTCACCATGATGTTAAGTTACCAATTCTTGTGGCCCCCCTTCCTCACCCTCTTCCTCCTCTTTTTTCCCCTCTCCTCCCTTTCCTGTGGATTTCTGCCTTTAGCTTTCTCATGCCCTGTATCCCACTTACTTGGGACTTGGTTCACCATCTAGTTTCTGGAAGTGGCAGTGGACACCATCAAGACCTCTCTCCTTGCTCTCCACTATTGGAGTTCATGCTCAGAGTTTCTTTCTGAATCCTGTTTCATAGCATTTTGTAGTTTTTTGGGGTTTTTTTTGTTTTTTGTTTTTTGTTTTTTGTTTTTTTGGTTGTTTTGAGACAGGATCTTCCTGTAGCCCCATCTGGCCTGGAACCTGCTATGTAGACAGGCTGGCCTCATCTCACAGAGATCCACCTGCCCCTGCCTCCCACGTGTTGCAATTAAAGGTGTGCCCCACCATGCCTGGCTTGAATTTTGCACTTTTGATATTCTGTATTTTCATTTTCATTCATTTCAAAATACTTTCCCTTGTGATTTCTTCTTTTGTCTGTGGATTATTTAAAAACACGGAGTTTAGTTTCCAAACCTTTGGAGATTTTCCAGAGACCTACTATTTATTTACTTATATCCAACTTAACTCCATTGTAATCAGGTAATATATTTTCAGTGACTTACAGAGCCATACTTGGTCTATCTTGGGAAATATTCTATATTTGCTCTAAAAGGGCTTATACCTTATGTGCCTGAATGGAATATTCCATAACTATCTAATAAGTCAGGGCTTCATAAACTTTTTTGGCTTGTGAACCCTGTGTATCCAAGAAACTTTTTTTAAAAATTTTAATAACTACATGATTAGAAGAAGCATTTCATTACAGCTTTAACATATTCAGTAACACACTCCAGAGCAAGAGTACATCTCTTTCATAAGTGGCTGTAAGTTTCTAGGTTCACAGTTGAATTAATACAGAAACTTTTAAGCATCCATAAGTATATGGGTATATAAAATAGGTATAAAAATCCAGAATTTATTGATAATAAAACATTAAGAAACATATTTTAAAACAATTCTTTGGCATAAATATAATATTGAAATTGATTAAATATGAAAACAAATTTGCAATACCGATGAGATGGAGAGTCTTCTTTGTCTAACACAATACATCCAAAGATGTACCAACCTGATACTAACATGCTGAGGAATGACGGTAGAAATCACTGAAAGTCTTTGTTTCTCATAATTAAACCAGCATGTCTGCATAAGAGTAGAAAACTTTATATGTATATGAAATTCATAACATACAGTCATCTGAAATCTATGCCAAGGTGTTTCATGCATTGTTTGTTGGTGTTACATGGCAAGATGGCATATACGATGTAAAGTGCACATGTTATATGTTTAGAACCAGGGTTGTCCTAAAGTCCTATGATGTAACAGGAATGAGCACTTCCAGAAATGCCTCAGTTTCATTACCTGTTTGGTTTTGAATTACTTTTCGGCCACAGCTTTTTCAGAAGTCTTTTACACCCCCACATGGGGTACTGACAACATCTGTGGGGGTTCAGTTCCAAGCCCTCCAATGGCTGCTTCAAAAGACAAATGGATTAAACCTGCTTCCACTCCTCTACATGCAGATGTATTTTGTGAGAGGCCTAGGAAGACGTTAACAGCAGTAATAATGGAATGATAATATTCTAGAGAAAAAGTTCCGTAAATGAGTCCCTTTACTGCACTCTCAGCTTTTCACTTAAAGGAAGCACCTGCAGTTTGTCTTGGGCACATCCAAATTGCCAGCATCACTACTTTCACTCTCTAGGGCCACCAAACAGGAATACACTCCATCAAATGAACGTTTCCTTTCTGGACATTATTTTACAGGTGTTTCTTAAAGAAAGGCACTTTCTTTAAGTGGCTAAATTGCTTCCTAGAAGATTTCCACGCACAGACACTAGTTGATCATCAAGAAGTTCATGTTACAGACGTTTCCATGGCCACAGAACGAAGTAAATTTCCCTTGGTAATAATCCCAGGAGTCTTGCTAACACAGGCTTCTTATCTCTAAAGCCATTCCTGCTTCCTGGGTAGACAGGCAGCTTTAAGGATTTTATTAGACATCAATTGTGGCATCCTTTGGGCAGGCTGCCAGCTGCCTACCAATTGTGACCAGTCTTGGATCTGTTCAATAGAGTACAGACATAAGCCTCTTAATCACATTTAGTTTATTGATCCCACACTGGCTCTCTTTGACCATAAATCACAAGCCCCAACTATTGAACCATTTTTTGGTTTTTTTGTTTTTGTTTTTTTTCCTTGAGACCTGCTCAGTCTTCTGGTAGTCTGCTGCCACCTAGTGAGAACCACTCATCCTTTGCCTCCCAGTTTAGAGCCCAGAAGGGTCCCTGGCTCCTGCAGTTTAGTGACTATAAGAAACAGCATTTATTCTAATGAGGAAGGCTTTGCTCTACATAGCTTTTGAATTCTCTGAATAGCCTTCAGAGCCTGCCATATATTCTATAAATACTGGCACAGTGGTTTAAAGTGTAGATTCTGAGCTTGATGGTCTGTGTTTAAATTTCAAAACCACATTTTTCATTAGACCAGGTAAATATTTTTTACCACCTTGTGCCTTACTTTTATCTCTTAGGCTGTTTGAAAGAAAAAGTGAGAAGATAAAGGGGCAAATAATAAAATAACTACATCATAGGGTGTTGTAGAAAGAAAATGGGTTAATATAGGAGAAAGTCTAAAAATAGAATTATTAACTTACAATAACTATTAACCACCACATGTGAGACACGAGCATATTTCACAGTATCTCTGGGCCTCAGTTTCTTCATCCTTAAAAAAGGATTGATGCAAAGTTGCCTTGAAAGTTGTTGTGAGAATTAAATCAGAGAATGGGATTTGGCTTGTAGTACGTTAGTTGCAAGTGTTTGTTTAAATGTTATTAAAAATGGGTTTAATGGTATTTTATGACCCAGAAAATGTTCAAGACAATCTTCTTTTAACGCTAGTTATTTATTGTGTGTGCACATGTGTGGAGGTCAGAGGATAACTTTCAGGCATCAATTCAATTCTCTCCTTTCACCAAATGGGTCCTTCAGATCAAATACAGGTTGTCAGACTTGGCGGCAAGCAGGCTTACCTGGTAAACCATCTCACAAGCCCAAGACATATCATTTTTTAATGTATATGAATGTTTTGCCTGCATGTATGTAAGTGCACCATGTGCATGCCCAGTGCCCTCAGAGGTCAGAAGATTGGACCTAAGATTACAGATGGTTGTTAGCTGCCATGTGAGTGTTGGGAACCAAGTCCAGGTCTTCAGCAAGAGCAAACAGTGCTCTTAACTTCTGGGCCATCTCTCCATCCCCCAAGACATACCTTTAAGAGAACAAAAGAGCAAACCATTGAGTTAAAATAGAATATGATCCAATTTTTACAAAATGCTTTTATGTATAGTCACAGAAAAGTCCTTAGGGAGAAAAAAAACAGTACTTCAAAGGTAGCTGACTGGAAGACAAGGCACTGCGTGACTGTTATTCACTGAGTTGTGCTTTTCACTATTCTCCAAAGCATAACAATATTTATGAATTTTACATCACAAAAATAATTTTGTTTTAAAATAAAATGACACCAAATATTGGGAGGAAAGAAAACCAAGTTTTGGTGTTTCATCCCCCAGATTAGCTGTGCTATTTTGCTGCTTATCTACTTGTAGTGTGTGTGTGTGTGTGTGTGTGTGTGTGTGTGTGTGTGTGTGTGCAGCTGTGTGTATCAGTCATTGATAGTTTGAAAAGGGAGTGGACTACTAAACTGGAGCCTGAAAATGCTTGGATTTATGCCTGCCACATTTGGGAAGGGAATGAACAGAATTAGATGTGTGTGTGTGTGTGTGTGTGTGTGTGTGTGTGTGTGTGTGTGTAGCAACAGAAAATACAGTATGTATTTTAAAAGATCTTTCTATGTAAATAGGTACTTCCTCCATCCATATTCATCAGAAAGAAAAAATGTTAAGCCAAATTAGGTTGGTGAAGGCAGCAGAAACACACCCCTACCACAACCTGGAGGCTGGGATGGCCAATATCCTCAAACCAATAGAAGACTTCTGCACCAAGTTCTTCGTGGGAACAGAGGTAGCCTGGAATTATCTGCTTTTTAAATTACACTAAAATATATAGTACCTAACTCCTATTCTACATGTTTACTGTTTACATATTTTCATGTTTCGATATGATCATTTTTATTCAGGAATTTTAACCTTGATGCCTAGTACATTCACATTTTAATGTTCCTTAACAGGCTGTAAAAGTAGCTCAGTTGATAGAGTGCTTGCCTGACATGTACAAGGCCCTGGGTTCAATCTTTAGCACCACATAAACCAGGCATGACAGCACACCCTATAATCTTAGCACTCAGGAAGCAGAAGCAGGAAGGAGGCATAAGTTCAAAGTCACCTGAATCTGGGTGACCCAGAGCCAGTTGTTGAGCCCCTCTGAGCCTCAATATCCTCATCTAAAAGACGATGAGGGACCGCTGCCTCTCTCCCATTGGTTCTGTCTCTTCCTCCTTTATCTGGCTGTTTCCTCCTTTGCTTCCCATCAGATCCTTCTGCGTTCTCTTCTTAAAATAAATGGTCATAAATTAGAACTAGAATACATATTGTTAGAGTTCAGTTTTATGTTTCCTGCTCTCAACTTTATAAAAGGTGATTAATAGGGGCTGGAGAGATGGCTCACCAGTTAAGAATACTGTTCTTGCAGAAGACCCAGGTTTGAATCCCAGCACTTACATGGCAGCTGACAACTGTCCATAACCCCAGTTCCAGGGGATCTGACAATCTCTTCAGTCCTCCGTGGGCACTACACAACATGGGTGCACTTACATACATGCAGGCAATACACACATACTCATAAAGTAAAAATAATGAAATATTTTTAAAAGGTGGTTAATACCACAGTATACACGCATCTACCCCCACCCCCTTATTCCAGGTCTTCATTAAGTCCTGACTGTTACATGCTGAAACCAAATCACTGAATGCTCCCTTGCCTCACTCATCCTCAGTAATTTAGGAAAGCCAGCAGTTGGGACTTCTGTACATAACATGTCTCCAGAGCTGCCCGTAGGACTCACATCACTCTGTATAGATAAAGCAAACTCATTTTTGGTTCGTTGTAAAATCAATTACGGTAACAATTTTGAACCTGTCCCCCACCCCACCCCAGTATACTGAATTCACGTGATTAAACTGACCTGTTCCTTTGTATTTGTCTTGGTGCCACCAGGCTTAGCACAAGAACATGAGATCTCTTGCCTCTGACATTGACCTTACATTCATTGAACCTGTTATCTCCCTAGGAAGGTGAAGTGATATACACAGATTGGAAAATGGAAAGAGATCCTGAAACTGGACGATTTATGTGTAAGTTTTGTGGATTACTCATTAATAAGACCTTTTTCCTTTAAAAAATCCGTATTAGGATATATTGATTATGTGTAATAATGGGATTCATTCTGGCATTTTAATACACATATAAAATGTATTTTCACCCTATTCACCCCAATACCTTCTCCTAGTCCCCTTCTGCTCTTCTGGTTCCCTCTTTAGTCCCTACTTATTTGATGACTCAATGAGTTTCATCAGGCTTGCTTTTAGGCTCCTGGCTGAGGGATTATCTACAGTAGCATGGGCTCCTCTACCAGTGGCCCCCTCACTAAAATGCCTCTCCCCCTTCCCAGTCATCATTAACTGGCTATAGATATTCAGGGAATGTTGGAGCCTCGTGTGCCCCTACTCCCCTAGCAATCATTATCTGCCTATGGGTCCTTGGAGGGCACCAGGGCCTCATGGTTCCTTCTCCCTCAACTCCAGGACAGGATGTCAACAGCCCACTCTTGCACGGGTTTGCGCCAGTAATTGTAACTACAGCAGGATCTGAATGTAATTTCAATGTCATGCTGAAGATGGGGTTCTACTCGGTCATGCTGAACATGGGGGTTCTAACTCACTCCACTCCTTCCTTCTGTTTTTGCATTCCTTCTGTGAGCCTTGGAGCCGTTGATATAGAAGTCCCATTTATGACAGAGCATTCAGCAGTCCCTTATTCTCAGCACTTTGTCCAACTGAGTAAAGGAGCTTCTCCGATAAGAGTTAATGGTAGCAGTAATCTATGGACATAATTATTTAGATAGCAACTTGACAGGCACATCATGTCCATTTAGCAAAACAATGGCAGCAGCTTCCCCATTAAGGGCCATTACCTCCCCAGCCAGGAGGTTTTGACCAGGCTTACAGTATTGGATGGATTCCCTCCTGTGGTGCAGGCCTTAAATCCTATCAGAGTGGTTGGTTACCCCCATTACTGACTTGTCACCATTGCACCAGTAGACACTTCTTGCCTTGCTAGTCAGTGGTGTAGTGCACAAGGTCCACAGCTGTTTTTATGACAGTTCTCCCGCTAACACCATGGGAGCTAGCCAGCAGGGAGATAGTTCCATTTGGGGTCCAGCTTGATTTCTCTGTGCTGTAATCAAAGCATGAGGTGTTTTCAGTGACAGGATCTTACTGTCTAGTTCTGGTGGAAAACCAACAACTGTGGCAAATGCCTGCATTGCTTTAGAGATTCTGAGATCCTCCCTGACCAACAACTCATAGGGAGAGAGCCCACCTCTGTTACCAGGGTTTTCATTTAATGACCTCAGGTTTCTGGGAGCAGCTTTATCCATCCACACAGCGTACTTAAAAGTTTTTTCTTTTTTTTTTTATTAGTTTAACCATATTCAGGTTTCTTTCTTTTTCACGGATCCTTAGTTTCAGCTGGTCCTCTTCCCTTCCTCTCCCTTATCTCCCTGCCTTCCTCCCCACTTAATCCTCCTCCCAGCATTTCACCTTCTAAGCACCCCAATAAGCAAAGGTCCTTCTGTTTAATAGGGGTTCATGACAATTACTGCTACTTAAAGTTTTTTATTTTTATCATGGTATGAAAATGTATGGTATGAAACTACACTTCAGTGTTTGGAATAATGTACAAAGGATGTGGTAGCTCATGGGACTGCCAGGCAGACAAAGGCAGCACAAAGTTTCCCCAAAGTGTGGGAGCAATGTTGTGGGGCAGCAGACTTGGTTTGCATAAGGGGATCTGATAAACTCTGTGGGTGGGTGTATGCGTGGGAAGTGAGTAACTTAACCACCAGAGGCCAAAGCCACAGCCTGCAGGGGGACAGCTGTTGGGGCTGACATCTTCTTCTCAGACTTCACTCCCTTCTCCTACTGAGTCTGGCATCAGAGATCACAATCTGTTTTTCACCTGGGGAAGCTTTCTTTGCTATTTTAAAGATCTGTTATCATTTTTAATTATGTGTATGTATCTGCGTGTCTGTGTGTGGGTATATGCACATAAGTGTAGGTGCCCACAGAAGCCAGAGGTGCCAGATCCCTCAGGAGCTAGAGTTATAAGCAGTTATAAGCTTCCTGACAATGGGTGCTGGGAACTGAACCAGGGTCCTCTCCAAGAGCAGTATGCACTCTTAACTGCTAAGCCATCTCTTCAACCCCTTCTTTTCCATTTTAATCTTGAGGCAAAAGCACCTCTGTTTTTCTTCTATAATACTCCTTCACAAAATATGGCATCAAAAGAGAACTGGGAGTGGGGGCTGTGGATGCAGCTCAGTTAGTAGAATGCTTGCCTAACATGCACGAAGCCATAGCACCACATGAACCTGGATATAATAGCTCATGCTTGTAGTCACAGCACTGGGGAGATAGAGACAGGAGAATCAGAAGTTCAAGGACATCCTTGGCTACTTAGTGAGTTCATAGCTTGAGCTATGTGAGACGTCTTCAAAAAAAAAAAAAAAAAAAAAAAAAAGAGGATTAGGGGGTTGGAGTGAGTACCAAACTGAGACTGATTTTTCTACTTTCCATTAATCCCCAGCTCTAGGATCTAAAGTTAACTCGAAATTAGATATAGGATGTGATGAATTACTATCAACTTAATTTTATTTTATACATATTCTTGTACCCATCTATTAGATAATTCAGGAATATTCATTGTATGTGAGATGCAGGCCAGACACTATGTAGCATGGCGGGGTCTTCCCTACACCTTAGCACATAGTGGACCTGAGTCAAACACTGATTCCTCCTGGTCTCAGATGCTCTCTTGGGGTTCCATCTCCTACAGCCAGCTTTCAAAACTTGTTTTGAGCATGTTCATAGAACACAGATTTTTTTTAAAAAAATTTTGATTTTATGTGTATAGTGTTATGTCTGCATGTATGTTAGTGCACCCATGCCATGCAGTGCCCTCAGAGGACAGAAGATGGCGTAGAATCCCCTGGAACTGGAGTTACAGACAGTTGTTAGCTGCCACATGAATGCTGGAATTTGAACCTGGGTCTTCTACAAGAACAGTCAGTGCTCTTAACTGATAAGCCATCTCTCTAGCCCCCTTATTTTTTATATTTTTTTAGCCCAGTGAGTTTTATTTTGGACTCTGACTTTCAGAATTGTAGAATAGGTTTGTGTGCTCTTTAAAAAATTTAGAATATTTTTATTATTCCAGAAAGAACATGAAGCAGGTTATATTTTTAGTTTTACATGAATTTTATCCATGTATATGCTCTGTGCCAGACACTGGCGAACTGAAGTTGAGCAGAGGTACCCACTCCAGGAGTTCCAGGATCGATTGGTTGGAAAAGACAAATGAACAAATGGTAGCACTGTTGTCACTTATGACTGGAAGCAAACAGGAAGTGATGCAGGAGCCAGGGAAGAACCATCCCTCTGGGGCTATTAAGAAATGGTCCACTGAAGTGGAACCCCATAGTTGAGCTGAATCTTGAAGGGTGGGTTGGAATTTTCAGAGAGAAATCGTGGGGAAAGACACTTGGGTAGAAAGAGCAGCAAAGGTAAATGCACGGAACCCAAGAGCTGCGGCCAGGGTTGAACAGGGAGAACTCAGGGCCAAAGTGTAGCCATCAAGAGGGCAGCAGCAGCAGGTAAGGTGCTGGGGACACTGAGTCCAGGTTGCAGTTGTCGGGCTGCCCTTATGTTCAGAAAACCAGCCAGGCAGGAGAGCAGGGGCTGGGCTGGGCTGGTTTGTTGGTAGGACTCATAATAGAAACAGGATGTGCATTTGCAATAGCCCAATGAGAACCAGCGGGGACTGAAGGACAGGCATGGTGACAGGGAGGTATAGCAGAAAAACATGGGAGACTTAGGAATCTCAAGGCCGGGACTTTGTGGCCAAAGGCATGTGAGTGGTCAAGATGAAAGGGAGTTGCTTTTAATTCCTTGGCCTTTAATTCACCCCCATTTGTATGGGAATAGCTTTATTTTTAAATAAACAATTTATTGAGAATTTCATACATGCATATAAGGTGATAAAATCCATGCCCACTCTCTCCCCTCCAACTCCTCTCATATCTCCCCATCACTTTTTTCTTCTGATAACTTCATGTACTCTTTCTTCTTTGATTTATTTATTTATTTTTATGGGGCTTTTGGCGACTCTAACATTCCCCTCTCTGAAGAGGTAACCCTAAAATCTTTTAAGGATT